CTGGGAGTCATCGGGGGCAGGAGGAGAAGGGGACGACAGAGGATGAGATGGCTGGACGGCATCACTGACTCGATGGACATGAGTTTGAGTAAACTCTGGGAGTTGGTGATGGACAGGGAGGCCTGGCATGCTGCCATTCATGGGGTCGCAAAGAGTTGGACTTTTGACAATACAAGGTAAAATCAGGGAAGTAAGGAGAGAGAGCCAGAGACAGAGAAGAGAGAAAAGAGAGTAAGAGGGACATAGTGTAGGTACAGTAGTGAAAGTTAAAGGGCAAGATTAAGAAGATTATCATTTGCCAAGATACATTTTGAACTTTATCAGCAAGCATCAGTAATCACCCAGATTTACCTCTGCCAGACTTTGGTGCTGGCCATAGCTCACTTTAACAGCAATCCATTAAGACAGACATTATCTCTACTTAACAGGTAAGAGATTAGATTGAGAGAATTTGCAAAAGACCAGTTTTTAGTGAGCAGGCTGGGATTCCAACCCAGATCTGCCCGGATGGGAATGGGCTTCAAGCTGGTTTTTACATCTTAATTTTAGAACCAATTCTTAATCTGTCACCCTCGCTCAAAACCTTTATGTATGTAGATTCTTTCCCCCAATACCCAGATGCCATCAACTAATACCTGTAGTTTTCTTGTGTTTCAAATTTTTAAAATTAATTTTTATTGGAGTATAATTGATATACAATATTGTGTTAGTTTCTGCTATACAGAAAAGTACATCAGTTATATATGTATATACATATATTCACTCTTTAGGTTCTATTCCCATGTAGGTCATTACAGATTACTGAGCAGAGTTCTCTGTGCTAAACAGGAGGTTATTAGTTATCTATTTTATATACAGCAGTGTGTATATGTCAATCCCAATCCCCCAATTTATCCCTCTCCCCACGCTTTCTCCCCCTTGGTAACCATCATTTTGTTTTCCACATGTGACTCTGTTTTGTAACTCTATTTCTGTTTGTAACAAACATACCATTATTGTTTTTTTTTTTAATTTCACATATAAGTGATATATTTGTCTTTCTCTGATTTAGTTCACTCAATGTAACAAGGTTTAGGTCCATCCACATCACTGCAAAGGGCATTATTTCATTCTTTTTTATGGCTGAGTAATATTCTATTGTAGATATGTACCACATCCTCTTTATCCATTTCTCCATCAATGATGGACAGTTAGGTCACTTCCACGTCCTGGTTATTGTAAATAGTGCTGCAATGAACATTTGGGTTCACATATCTTTTTGAATTATGGTTTTCTCCAGATATATGCCCAGGAGTGGGATTGCTGGATCATGTGGTAGCTCTGTTTTTAGTTTTTAAAGGAACCTCCATGCTGTTCTCCATAATGGTCAAATCTTTCTTTATACCTTTGCTGTCATGGTCCTAATACATTTGATTCCTGTTTTCCTGATGTCTTTGACCCTATTCTCTTAATCCTGCCATCCATCTTTCATACAGTGCTAGATTTATTTTTCCAAACATTCATTATGGTAATTACCTCCTCAAAATGTGTTAGTGATTCATTATTACCTAGATTCATGGTTCCCAGACTGTGAGCCATGACACCACTGGGCAGCAAGCTCCCTGGGATGCTACAGAATAAACTTTTGGGGAAATCACAGTGATACATGTTAGACAACATGTGAACTACTAGCTTGAAGAAGGCCAATTTCAAGATTAGATCACGCAATATTCCTCTCAGTATCAAACAGGGAAGAAGGGTGGTAGTGTCCAGTTTGATTCTAAGGTCTGAGAAGCTTACGTGCCCAACATCCTGTTAGTAATACTTGCAGTTATTTAAAAATAAAAATACCTTTAGACTTTTGTGTATTCTTTTGTCAAATATCTATTAAGTTGTTAGGACATTAAGTGCTTATTGTTTGGATATAAAAAAATAGAACTTTTACATGTTTATTTTGGCATATCATAAAATATTGAGATACTAGGAACAATGAACTGAGACAGTTTGGAAACCTCTGGCCTGAGTGGTAAAAATCTACACCTTCTGCCTTGGCACTTAAGGTTCTTCAAAACTTCTAGTAACACCATGTATCCATAAACATCACATATGGCATATTACAAGTGTTCCCTTAAGCATCAGAACTAATCTCTTATCTTGAACCCTCTGACCAAACCCAATCAGTGTTCTTACTCAGTTCTTCAAGACTCATCTGAATATTCCCTCAAGTTTTTTTTCAGTCTCTCATAGTTTTTTCTCCTTGGACGTTCCAATTATTCCTTCCTTGGGTTTGACTTGCTAGAACGCTCACAGACTCAGATCTGGTTTATTATAAAAGGATATAACTCAGGAACAACCAGATGGGGCAAGGGAGGGGGAAAAGGCGTGAGGCTTCAAGGCCCTGTATGCACTCCTCTCCCCTAATCTCCACATATTCATCAACCTGGGAAGTTCTCAACCCTCTAGCTAGCCTCTCCAAGTATTACTTTTCTGTCAACTCCCAGGTTACCTCCTTCATCAAGCCTTCCCCAACCGAATTAACTCAGTTAACTACTATAGCACATAACCATATCACAGGACCCACTGTGTAATAAATCATTGCTTTTGTTATTCACCTTTATGTCACCTGTGCAACATTTCGCTGCGTGTACTGCAAGCATCTTTGAGGTTAAGAATGTCATGTGACATTAAAGTTTCCCATAGCAACTAGCAATGTGGAGGGGGCAAATCACATGGAGCTTAGGTAATGCATGAATTTATTCAGGCTCCAGACCAGAATAAACACCCACACACCTCCACATGTAGAAAACAGCAATGGAACAGAGGTTAGAAGGCACAGGAGAAAAGGCAAAAGTGCACAAATGCTGATTGCTGGTGCAAAGCAGAACTGTGGGCAAAGAGCCCGAGGTCAGGCCTCAAGCTAACAGAATCTGTACTTTGGGAAAGATGAGTCAGGGAGGGGCTGAGATAGGTTCATTCTTAGGAGTTAACTAGGGAGGCAGGACGAGGAGGTGAGGATCTCACAGCTGCGTTTCCCATCCCTTCTCTCAAGAAGTAGAACTTTTAAGGGGACCAGAAATGCCAATTACAGATTTACTTGGATAAATAACCTTTTGGGGCTTCCCTGATGGCTCAGATGGTAAAGAATCTACCTGCAATGCAGGAGACCTGGGTTTGATTCCTGGGTCAGGAAGGTTCCCGGGAGAAGGGAATGGCCCACCCACTCCAGGACGCTTGACTGGAGAATTCCATGGACAGACGAACCTGGTGGGCTACAGCCCATGGTGCCACTAAGAGTTGGACACAACTGAGCGACTAACACTTTCACTTTTTTCTTTCTCAAATAACCTTTTAAACTATAAACATCCTGAAAATGGTTGGAATATCCAGCTCTTCTCACTGCGCATTATTTAACTGGGTTTCCCCCTCAAAATATTTGAGACATAATCAACTGTGTGAATGCTATATGGGCATGAAGGCAAAGAATTTTAGCCCTATAAATTAGTGTGGGATATTACTTGACTTGATTGGGTGCCTCTGGACAGTCCCAGTAATACTGAAGAATAGGGGGAGTTGGTGAAGAAATTGGGAGGTGCAGGGAAAAACGGGAGATGGCTAAAGCCAAAGTCTGCCTAGTTTGACTAAGAAATGAAATATGGGGAATTCCTGGGAGGTCCAGTGGTTAGGGGCTTCCCTGGTAGCTCAGACGTTAAGAATCTGTCTGCAATGTGGGAGACCTGGATTCAATCCCCGGGTTGGGAAGGTCCCCTGGAGGAGGGCATGGTAACCCACTCCAGCCTTCTTGACTGGAGAATCCCATGGACAGAGGAGCCTGCAGGCTACAGTCCATGGGGTCACAAGGAGTTGGACACGACTGAATGACCAACCACACCAGTGGTCAGAGCTCCACAGTTTCACTGCCAAGGGCCCAGGTTCAATCCCTGGTTGGGGAACTGGGATCCAGTAAGAAAAAAAAAAGAAAATGAATTATGGCCGCGCCTTTGGTGAACCATGGCGGGAGGAGGGGGAGAGAAGGCCTGCTGTGGACTTCATTTGACTAACGATCCAGCGGGCCAGGTCCAGGATTGGCCACGCAAGGCAACAGCAGAGATTAATCATATTTAGGAATACAGGCAGCTAGTGACACAAACCTGGTGGAAGGAGTCTGGTACACACTGCTGCAAACAGGCAACACCCACAGAAGACTAACTAATGGTCATAGAAAAGGGGATGGGGACGGGGGGCCAGTTACAGAGCACTTAAAAATGAGTAGAAGAAAAATACTCTGGGTTAAATAGAAGAAAACCATTCTGGGTGAAATTGTAACTTTGAACTTGTTAACAGATTAGTTCAATAGAATTCAGTGGCCATATTTAGATTAAAAAGCTAGTTTCATTTGTCAATGTTGCAGTCTGAATAGTTACAGAAATATTTATTTAAAAGTAACACTTTATTAAAAAAAACACAGAAATGATTTAGATTAAAAGCTCCAAGTTGTATTGTTTCATACGTGTTATTGCTATCTATACCTTCATCCCATTATGAAGCCATTTCAGGTAACTTTCAGTTCATAAATTTACAGTGAGGTTACAGAGCCCAGCCAGGATGGGACAGAATGTGTTCCAAGTTAGGAAGGGACGTGACTCCTCAGTGATGTCTCCCATGAGCATGTATGCTTCACTGTTTCTTTCTGGTTGTGGCTGGTTTAGAGTCTCCTGATGCTAATGATGTGCTGCTTTTTGATCCTAGGAGGCTGATCCAAGCTTTCAGGCCCCCTCTCCTGTTGGCCCTAATTCTGAACTGTGAGGTTCAGGAGAGCTGGACAATCTGAAGGCTGGGAACGAATGCTTGCTTAAGGGAGGAATTGCCATTCCAACATCGATTGTCTTTAATCCTACTGCAGAAACTGTTTTCATTCTGGGGATGGTGAGTCCTAGAAGATCATGGCCAAGAAGCAGATGTCCTAAGTAGCTTCCTCTGAGAGTCTATCCTCAAGAGAGAGCCATGTGGCCACCTGCTTTTTATCATATTTCTAATAGCTGTTCCATTTCCTCAAGGGCTGCTGTGAAATCATTTACTTGACTGCTACATAAGGTCTGTTGTTCAAGGAACTGGGCTCTCTCTTCTTCTTTCATCTTCAACTTTACCTTTAAGGCCTGCACGGAAAGACATTAAAAAACAAGAAACCCCACAAAACATTGACTCAGAAAAGACAATATAATAACCAGAACATTCTGTTCCACTGAGGAAGACCACTGGAATACTGACACACACTGTCTCTTTTTAGATTTATCTGTGTTGGCTTTAAGAACTGTCTTTACTACAGAATCTGTTATCTCAGCTGGAGCACTGAAATCCTCTAGGATTCCATGTAGTATCCCATGGTTCATCCAAGCAATTCAAAGTCCAGCCCCAAGAATCTGGGTTTCCTATTACAGGTTCCCCTGAGATATCAAGTTTCCACAGCATAGACTTCGCACAGGTGTCAACTCTCACCTGGAGGAATCTAGCATGTTGCACACTGTTTCGTGCCCTGTGGATGTGAACACTTCTAAGCATCTTTAGAACAAAAAATTAGTTGAAAAAAATGGTGAAATCAAAGTCTTGGAATTTAGTTAATAGTAATGCATTAATATTTGTTTCTTAGTCCTGACACATATACCATGACAATATAAGATGTTAATATTAGGGGAATTGAATTCTCTATTATTTTTGCAACTTTGTCACAATCTAAAATTGTTGCAAAATAGTTTATTAAAAATGAATAAACAGATAAATAAAAGAGTCCTCCAGAGACCCTCCTATTGTAGTAAGAAATGGTAATTTTGCCTTGGGGTGATGTCTGCCTCTCACCTGTAACTCTTCCATCTGCTTTTTGGCTGTTTCGTTAAAAAGCTTCAGTTCATCTTGCAAAGTTTGTAACAGCAGCTAAGAGAAAAGCAGAAGCAAATATAGTAACAGATCTTTATTGAAAGGTGAGAACTTTTCTTCAAATAAATTCATCTCCTCACAGGAGCTGAGATTAGATGATCACTAATATCCTTTGCATTCGGTCATTTACTGAGTGTCCACACGTGTGTCAGGCTCCTCTGAGAAACGGAGTTCACAGGAGGGACAGAGGACTACACCTCCACATGCTCCGTGCTACACAGGCCAATATGAACGAAAGGCAGTAGCCACTGAAGGGGTGACTAAGTTGCCTTGGGAGCTGAGGAAGGTATTCATGCCTAGTATTCTAAGATGACAAACTATCTTCCTGGGGAAGAGATCATAGAAGCTCAAAAGGCTTTAATCCCAAACAAATTACCTTCCTACTTCCGGGAAGGAACCAAAGAGAGGACAAATTTAATTCAGGTTGGACCTTTGTAAGACACAGTTCTTAGCAAAGGAATAAGGGGGAAAATTTGATAAAGCGTAGAACAGAGAAACCAGAAAGCTGTCTTCACTAGTCCACCCTACTATGGGTTTTAATATAGTACATTTTCAACTTAGACTCACTCTTATTTGTAAGCACAAAATCACCCTTAAGGAAAAATATGCTATTTTGAGTACACACCCAACCACCCTCTTCCTGGATAACCAAAGGCTGCTTCATGGGCTTTGCTGAGCATATGGCAGAGACCCATTTAGATCTGCAAGGCCCCACTCTCACTGGCCCCCTTGCCCCCTCGCACCTGCCCCCCTCACCATGGAGTCCATGTGATCTGCGGTGGAGTCCTGCTGTGACGCCAGGGTCTCACTGCCTAAAACCAGTAGAAACAACAGAGTCAGCCCTGCCTAGGGAATTGCAACTTAAAAGAAAATAAAAAGCCCTCCACAGGAGTATTCATGAGGGAAACTTCTCTGAGGGTCTGGGCCTGGACTCTCTCCCCTGAGCTTTCATCTCGGCAGGGTCCCCCATGCCTGCTCTCCAGAGCTGGATTTTACTTCCCCTTCCTCTCCAGGTATGGATATGGCCAAGACTTTCTCCTCAGCTCAGCAGAAAATTTGTCCAAAAGAAATGTATAGGTTTTGGGTCTGTTTACAGTACATAAAACTATTTCTAAAATCTTTATAGGCCTTCAACATTTTTAATGTAAAAACAATGCATATATATAGGCAATTAAAATCATGCAAAAACGTAACTATAATGAATATATCCTAAAATGCACTATTTTAATGGCAGTATTCAAAATCAGTACTCTAATTCAAAGAAGCCTGGACTCCTTCCCTGGGCATTCTTAAGTTCCTCAACTCAGGCTCTCTGAAAGTCTCTGGGTAATCCCTTCTGCTGTTTCCTCTTTGTTATAGACTGCCCTCTAGGGACAGGGTAAGAACAAGAATCACATTTTAACCATCATGACTTAGATTATTAGCCAGCTTCGGTATCATCTCTCTCTCCACCCATGAAGATTCCGTGTGGGCCATATCCCTTGAAAGAAAGAAGATATTTCTGACCTATTTGCAAGATCATACCTATCAGCATCAAAAGAATGGCATAAAGTGTTCAGGTAAGAAAGAGATAACCCTCTCTACACAACATCTGAAACACTCTTGGGCAGGCAGAGTCAACATCACCAGAGACCAGAGAGGAGCTCCCTGAAATCTTCAGGGCTTTGCTAGGCAACCCCTGCCCTGACCAGGTCAGCTGACACACAGCCCAGTGACACACATCACTCAGGAAAGGGTGCATGCACTGACTCCTCTGAAGGCAGTTCTTACCTGGGTTGAGGCCTTTGCTTTCTAAAATTGCCAAACAGTTGTCCTGAAACTTCTCCAGCAGCTCTACTTTTTGAGTCAGTTCCTTCAGCTCTCCCTGTTGGGGTGAACATGCAGACAGGTCAGGCCCATCCCATTCCTCGGGAACAGCCACAGCACAAGCCCAGTGTCTTTTCTGCCTGCCCTCAGGACCACCTGGTGTGGCCCCGCAGGTGTCCACACGCATCACCAGGGCAGCTGATGGCAGAGGTCTGGTGGGTCTCTTACCTGAGTTTCAATCAATTTCTGATGCAACTGCTTGTTGACAGCCTCTAAGAGCTGGTTCTTATCCTTGAGCTCTTCTTCCGATTTCTGTTTACTTAATGGTTTGTAGCTGTAATGATAATTGTACTTAGATGAAGAGGTGGAGGGGTTAAGAGTATGAGCTATGGAGTTACACAAACTGGCTGGTTCAAATCCTGGCCTCACCACATAGTGGAATATGACCTTCAGAGAGCTCTGTAACCTCTCAGGTTGTTACCTTATTTGTAGAATTAATACCCTCACCTCATATTATTATTATTGTGAAGGATAAAGGAGAATACACGTGCAATTCGTGGCAGAGTTACTGACCCATAGTAAACTTTAATCAGTAATAGCCATTATCATCATCAATACTGAATCTTTTTAAAGTTCTCTGAGTCTGTCTTAACAGTAGTTTGTCTTTAGAACTTTTAAGACATGCTCAAATAATAGATGTGGAATTACAACCCATTTCTACAAACTTTCCAGCTTATATTATTTCTGCCTTCGGGACTGTAATGGCCAAGCAAGCCTCAAGTATAGAAAGATGCAGCCTTCTCCAAGATTTTACCACCAGCAGTAGAACACTCATTTTGAAATCACTAACACATGCAGCTTCTCCCATCCTGAGGGCTTCCTGCTCTTGTTAATGGGCCATCACTGGGTTTAAGCAGTGGCCCTGGCATGGAGCCCCCAAACTCCTATCTGTTACTCAAGATTGTCACATCACCGACTCTTGTCCTGACATTGGGTTTTAAGCCTGGCTGTGTCTCACCCCTGAAAATTCCATTCCAATTTCTGGGGTGGCACCAGACTCCAACATGGTAAAACAAGTCCCATGAGTGATTCTGAGGTACAACCAGAGCCCCACTCTGTATTAAGCCCCACTACCCTAAAGTGGTGGCCAAGTTTCCTGATGCTCACCTCTTTCTGAGGTTCCTTCTGGAGGTGTCTGTAGCCTTCACCTGCCTGGAGAAGCAAAAACAAATCAGGATGTTAACTAGCCTTACTGTGGTGATCATTTCACAGTATTTACAAATATCAAATCACTATGTTGCATACCTGAAACTAACACAATGTTATATGTCAACTATACCTCAATTAAATAATAATAACAAAGGAATCAATCACAGAGAATCATGGTACTGTTGTTACATATGTTGTGAACAAGGCAGAACAAAAAGAACTTGATTTTCTAAGGCAAGAACCAGAGGTTACATACAGTGCAGACAGTACAAGCTTGAGAAGCTCTGAGGCACCACGCACTTTTGTTTCCGCCAGACTATTGAAAAAGGCTTATGAATAGGGAATGGGCTCCCTTCCTGACCACTTTGACAGCATGAGAGACCTGCTCCTGCTCAGAATGGTATAGCTACCTCATGTCAACCTGACTCAGTGGGAGCTGAGCACTGGGGGAAGGATACACATACACTACACCAGGCCGACCTGTGCTCACACTGGCAACTTAGGCTCACAACTAGCACCCACCTGCCACGACCACCACTTAGGGCTGGTGTTTGGCTGCAGTGCTGCTATTTGTACATGCAGAGCAAATGCTGAGAGAGGAAAAAAATATCTATCATAACCCTGGCTGCACCTCTTCTGAGCTGATCAACACCAAGGGTTCTTAAAAACAGCTCAGCAATGCTGTGATGCTTTGGGCCACCGACTACAGGCCAATCCATCAGACACCTTGTGCTCTCAAAACCCTAATTCTTGATACTGAACAATTTCTAACCAGAAGTTCTATTTGGATACCGATGTTCTGACTCTCACCCATTCTCTCGTCTTGGTTTGATGATTTTTGTAACATCATTCTCTGAAGCTCCTGAATGAGGTCTGGAAACATCAACTTCTTTGGACTTAACAGGTAACTGGCTCTTAAAAGTGGCTCGAGTTTGTGCATCTGCAAAGGAAAACAAGAGGGTGAAACCTCACACATCATGAACAACAGCTGCCAACTCTATAAATCCTGAAGAATAGAACTGATGGACCAGTTAGGAATAGAAACCAAAATTCTTTAAATGTGATAGTGCAGTGTGTTTGAGGGTGGACAGAAGATTGACAATACAGCAAACCGAATGGCCAGAGGGTGTAGATGTGAAGGTGGAGATTCATATAAGCAAAGAGCACAAGAGGCAGTGTAGCTGCCAGCAAGGCAAAATACAGCTGGACCCTGCCTCACACAGCAGTTCAATGGGACTATCTCATTCTGCTCTTAAGCACTCTGCCTGCTCCCCTAAGCTACATGCAAGCTGTTTCAAGCTTCAGCTGTTGCTTAGTTGTTTTGACCAGACTGGCTCACTAACTAGTTCTCTAAGACAGTGGTCCCCAAACTTTTTGGCACTAGGTACCAGTTTCCTGGAAGACAATTTTTCCTCAGAACAGGGGTGGGGTGGGGATGGTTTCAGAATGCTTCAAGTGCATTACATTTATTGTGCACTTTATTTCTATGATTATATTATCAGCTCCACCTCAGATCATCAGGCATTAGATTCTGGAGGCTGGGGCCCCCTGCTTTGCAGATGTCTTTGTACCTCAGCATCTAGGAGAGTATCTGGCATATTAGCAAAAATTCAAAACCTGCTTACTGAGTAAACAGAACACGTCACAGTTTCACAGACCATCTCTAAACTAGCTCCTTTCGTCATCTTCTCCTCTTTCATGCTGGCCTTTACCATCCATTTTTTTTTATCCATCTTTAAGTTTAGAGTTTCACATAGGTTCCTTATTTGGCATTCTGTTCTGATCCTGGTAGGCTATTGCCAGATAACCAGAGAAATGGCCCTGACATGCCACTCTTCTTCCCTAGAAGAGGGCATCTGCCTCCTAGCCCTTATGCTGCCCTCCACCACACACCTCTTTCTACCACCTTCATTCCATAGCAAATCCAAGTAACTAGTTCTAGAGTTAAGTACTCACCCGACTCCATCTAATACATGCAAAGGATTCTTCTACTTTATACCAACTTTCACTTTGTTTATTGTAAAACGGCTCCTTTAAAAACCTGTGTCCATACCCAGGTTTCTGAGAAAATTTCACATGCCCCGAGGCAACTACGCCTATATGTCACAATCACTGAGCCCGCCTAGAGCCTGTGCTCTGCAACAGGAAAAGCCACCACAATAAGAATCTTCCGCTCTCCAAAACTACAGAAAGACCGTGCAACCAAAAATAGAGTTTGACCCAAGTTGAAGAAATCAACAATTAAATCAAGATGAAGAAATGACGTACAAAGCACTGGATTGCAGGCATTAGGAAACTTTGTGTTTGATAAAGATTTATTTTGATGACTTTAGCTGCACAACAGTTTGGAATAAATATGATTTCTCAGGCTAACAAATTATTTCATTTATAGGTACACTCAATGGGCACTGACATCCTATTTTCCACACTCTTTCACACAAAGCAAGTATTAAAAGGGTTCTTTCTGGTATCTGTCTGAAGTAAAAGGTAACCTTGGGTGAATGAATTTACCTTCTCCTCTCTCAGGTATTAATAAGTCATACATGATAAGAAATATCTCATGTAAAAAGGTATCAACAGCAAACTGATCAAAATTAACAGTCTTCATTGACTAGAATTGGTTCCGATAACCCATATTTGTTAGAACCTAAGGATGGTATTATAGGAAAAATTTAGCAGGGTTTAACAAAGACTATCTTCTTAAAATGAGAGATGCTAAGGCGGGAACTGGATGGCTAGTGCCAAGGATGGAAAGACTAATTTTTCACTGTATATCATTTCCAAACTTTGGGTTTTTAACATGTGTATATGTTACCTGTTAAAAAAAAAAAAAAACTAAAAAACAACCAACCCTTGCCTAACATCAAAAAACCTGGAAGGCAGCCTAAAAATGTTAAAATATTGAGGTTACATATGACTGTAAAGCTGGGACAGAGAAAGAAGCAAAAAGATGAAAACTTCCAGTTTGGGTGGGGAGATGTCAGTCACTCCCCACTGCACTAAAGACACCACTTTCTAAGGGAAAAGCAGTGTAAGACTGAGTCCAGTTCCTCCATCAACTCCTAAGCCCTGCTGATGACAGGATTGCCATTCAGGTGTTCTGAAGCAATATAAGACAAACAGAATCCTGTAAGGCCTTTGGAGAAAAGCCTATTTACTTCACAGGTCAATCCTACTACCCTCATCAATCAGCTGCATGGAGTCACCTGGGAAAGGATCCTAACTAGCTGCTTCAAAACCTTCCACCACCACCCGGTTCTCCTGTTTGAAGCCAATTCTCTGCTATAATCTCTAGATTACACAACTCGACAATTGCAGAATTTAGATGATTTCAACTGCAAGCTGAGTAACACAAAGCAAAATGGCAAAGCAATCAAACATTGCCTTTAATCATGCCTCTTCTCCCAAAGTTCTGGAGCATTAGTTAGGCCTGATCCCTCTCTCTCTTTACTCAACAAATGTTTGCTGAGAATGTACTATATAAAGGACACTGTGCAGTTACAAATGGGAACCAGACGGGGTGTGAACCCTACTGCTTCTCCCTAATTATCCTGCTTTTTCAATGACTCTCGTCTCTCCCTGACAACAAACCCAGTCCCTCCAGACAGCCCAAGTCTGGAAATAAAACTGATATGTATAAAATGGATCCCTAGCTTACTGTGAATAATACTGTAGAATAGTCAGCAACTTGAATCTAATTGGTGAATGCAGCAGAGTTTGGTCTGAAGAAGCAGGGGGGTGGGGCAAGTCTAAATTTCTACCTTACTGCCCTTCCCCTAACTCCCATCATAAACTAGACAACCCGGCTCCTGGGGAGTTAGTAGGCTGTCAAAGCCGGTAGAATGCCCTCCCTTGCCGGTGCCACCCATTCCCAACAACAGATTTGACGCCCCCAGACTCCTGGCCTGACCACCCCAGGGCCGGTTCGCAGTGCCAGGGGGCAAGGGCCCCGTGGACACCCACCTGCGGGCAGGCCGCTGCTCAGCACACAGGAGGGCTGCAGGGTGTACACTGTCTTAACCACGCTGGTCATCGTAACGAGGCGGCACGGCTGGGGCCTAGAAGTTACAAAGTGAATGGTTACCCAGGGCTGGGCCAAGGAGACCAAGCAGGCGGAGGCCCCAGGAGAGAGCGACTCATGAGAGCGAAAATCCTCCATTCCCAGCCCATCCCATCGACTTCCCACATCCAGCCCAGTTTCCTGCCCCGTGAGAGCCGAACCCAGGTGCCTGCTGCTGCTGCCCGCACGCCTCGTCGCTCTGGTTCAAAAGATGCTCGGCAATAACTGCCGTACCACAGACCGCGTCTGCCGCCTGGGTTTCAAAGGGAAACTTCCGGTGATCGGGCGGAAGGGGGTGTGGTGCGCTCTCCGTAGGCGGCCATGTTGTACGGCATCCACTGGCGTGGGCGACGTCTTCGGCGGCTGCCATACTGTACGGAAGATCTGAGTCGAGGCCAGAGTTTGAGCTTCCTCCCGTTGGGTTTAGGAGTCCCCAGGTCTGGGCGGGGGAAGGGAAGTGGTGTACTTTGCCGTCTTGAATGGAGCTATGAGCCACTGGCGTCATATTCTGGCCTTGAGACGGAAACGCAGTCACGTTTAGGGTCCTTGTCACAATCCTTCTCTTTATTTGGTCTGTGATTGTTAGGGATGGTGCATGATGCCGGAAAGCCAGGAGCACAGAGAGAGATTGGTAGGAAAAAAACCTACACGGTGGAGAGTGGCAGGTGAGATTTGGAGAGGGCTTGTGAGCTGAAATACCTGAGACACGTATTCTCAGTCCTAACTTTTAAAACACTTATCCAGAATTTAAGCTGAGATTCCAAGCTACTCCTAGCCAATGGGGCAGAGTTCTCTAACATTTAGTGCGCTAATTCATTTCATTCAACAAATATTCACTGAGCACCTGCTTTGTGTCAGACCATAATTCTAAGTGGGTGGGTTGGATGAGGACAACAAATATGGAGACTAACTTGGGCTGTGCCCTCCTGGAGTTTACAACCTAGGGACCAGAAAATAATCATACAAACCTGTCAATTATATCTCAATTAAACTAGAAAAAAATATGTATTTATCAACTACAGTAAAACTATTAGGGGAGAGTACAACGTTCTGTGAGAGAAAAGCAGGGAAACCTAGTTTAAATTGCAGAGTCAGGAAAGACATCTTAAGTGATGTTTGACTAAAAGGGGGGGGGCGGGTGTAGGAATTAACCTGAGGAGGAATTCAAAATCCCAAGGTAAGAATGGGCTTTTCTTCAGTTCAGTTCAGTCATTCATGTCTGACTCTTTGTGACCCCATGAACTGCAGCACACCAGGCTTCCCTGTCCATCGCCAACTCCCAGAACTTTCTCAAACTCATGTCCATGGAGTCAGTGATGCCATCCAACCATCTCATCTTCTGTCGTCCCCTTCTCCTCCCGCCTTCAATCTTTCCCAGCATCAGGGTCTTTTCCAGTGAGTAGGTTCTTGGCATCAGGTGGCCAAATTATTGGAGTTTCAGCTTCAGCATCAGCCCTTCCAATGAATATTCAGGACTGTTTTCCTTTAGGATTGACTGGTTTGATCTCCTTGCTGTCTAAGGGATTCTCAAGAGTCTTTTCCAACACCACAGTTCAAAAGCATCAATTTTTGGGCGCTGAGCTTTCTTTATAGTCCAACTCTCACATCCATATATGACTACTGGAAAAACCATAGCTTTGACTAGACGGACCTTTGTTGGCAAAGTAATGTCTCTGCTTTTTAATATCTAGGCTGTCTAGGTTGGTCATAGCTTTTCTTCCAAGAGCAAGCATCTTTTAATTTCATGGCTGCAGTCACCATCTGCAGTGATTTTGGAGCCCCCCCCCCCAAATTAAGTCTGTCACTAGTTCCATTGTTTCCCCATGTGTTTGCCATGAAGTGGTGGGACTGGCTCAGAAAGCTGAGTGCCGAAAAACTGATGCTTTTGAAATGTAGTGTTGGAGGAGACTTTTGAGAGTCCCTTGGACTGCAAGGAGATCCAACCAGTTCATCCTAAAGGAAAGCAGTCCTGAATATTCATTGGAAGGACTAATGCTGAAGCTGAAACTCCAATACTTTGGCCATCTGATATGAAGAACTGACTCATTTGAGAAGACCCTGATGCTGGGAAAGATTGAAGGCAGGAGGAGAAGGGGACGACAGAGGATGAGATGGTTGGATGGCATCACCGACTTGATGGACATGAGTTTGAGTAAACTCCGGGAGTTGCTGATGGACAGGTGTCGGGACCAGCTCAACAATGAACTGACCTGAGGGAGCAGTACCGCAGAAGAATAAGGAAAAATAAGACTCAGAAATAAAGTGCGGATCAGGGGGCTGATGCCATTCATAGGCAAAAGCCCAGATCCTAATCCTTGCATACCTTTTATTGTTAACATCTACTTCCTTGTACATGCTCTAGAGATATCTGTTCTTTACAGTCAGGGATTGTAAAGATCAGGGATAAAGATATAAAAGGCACAGTCCTCAATGTCAAACCTTCAGACCTTTCAGGACTCTGTTTAGCCCTTCAGCCAGTGACGACCTTTCTCAGCCACTCCCTCAAGGCTCTGGTTACGGAAACATTCACTAATGGTTTTCCATCAGTCACATCAGTACTTCAACAGCTTGTTTTCAAGATATTTTTCTACGATGTACTTTCTACTGCTCCGAGCCCTTCGCCTGGGGGTGATAAGAAAGTCGTTCTTATTTTTCAAAGAAACCCTATTAATTATAGCAGAGGCCTGTGCATAGCCTATTCCCTACAACAGGGAGGCCTGGTGTGCTGGAGTCCATGGGGTTGCAAAGCATAGGACATGACTGAGCGACTGAACTGAACTGAACTGATGGGACTGGATGCCATGATCTTAGTTTTCTGAACGTTTGGTTTTAAGCCAACTTTTTCACTCTCCTCTTCACTTTCATCAAGAGGCTCTTTAGTTCTTCACTTTCTGCCATAAGGGTGATGTCATCTGCATATATGAGATTACTGATATTTCTCCCTGCAATCTTGATTCCAGCTTGTGCTTCATCCAGTCTGGCATTTCACATGATGTACTCTGCATATAAGTTAAATAAGCAGAGTGACAATATATGGCCTTTACATACTCCTTTCCCGATATGGAACCGTCTGTTGTTCCATGTCCAATTCTAACTGTTGCTTCTTGACCTGTATACAGATTGCTCAGGGGGCAGGTAAGATGGTCTGGTATTCCCATTGTTATGCCCGATGTCCAAATCCCCGAGCGGGAAGAGAAAAGGCTTCCAAGACAATGCAACTCGCAAAAAAAGGTAAGTTTATTGCTGACTCGAGTCAGGGCTCCCGCCGCGCATCCAACGCAGTGGTACGGGGTCAGAGAGCACTGAGCTCAAGCTGTTACCCAATTTATAAGGTGTGCATAAGCAGTTGGTAGCTGGCTTAAGCCGATTGGTTACATGTTTGCAAAGTAATCTTATTGGCCCAAACCTTCGAGGGCTTTTTTCAAACTTGGGCGTTCGTGGGCTTTTCAGCTTTCCCCCGATAGGTTCCCTTTTTTCTTGCTAGGTGCATGTTGATTGGCTGGCTCCAGGTTACCTGATGGGGGAGGGGAATCCCACCATTTCACGGGAAACCGAAACCCAGGTCCGGGCCGCCTGCCAGCCCCAGCAGCCCCACACCATCTCTTTCAGAATTTTCCACAGTTGTTGTGATCCACATAGTCAAAGTCTTTGGCATAATCAATAAAGCAGAAGTAGATGTTTTTCTGGAACTTTCTTACTTTTTCTGTGAGCCAATAGATGTTGGCAATTTGATCTCTGGTTCCCCTGCCTTTTCTAAATCCAGCTTGAACATCTGGAAGTTCTCAGTTCCCGTACTGTTGAAGCCTGGCTTGGAGAATTTTGAGCATTACTTTGCTAGCATCTGAGATGAGTGCAATCGTGCGGTAGTTTGAGCATTCTTTGGCATTGCCTTTCTTTGGAATTGGAGTGAAAACTGACCTTTTCCAGTCCTGTGGCCACTGCTGAGTTTTCCAAATATGCTGGCATGTTGAGTGTAGCACTTTCACAACATCATCTTTTAGGATTTGAAATAGCTCAACTGGAATTCCATCACCTTCGCTAGCTTTGTTCATAGTGATGCTTCCTAAGGTCCACTTGACTTCGAATTCAAGGATGTCTGGTTCTAGGTGAGTGATCACACCATTGCGGTTATCTGGGTCATGAAGATCTTCTTTGTATAGTTCTGTGTATTCTTGCCACCTCTTCTTAATATCTTCTGCTTCTGTTAGGTCCCTACCATTTCTGTCCTTTATTGCGCCCATCTTTGCGTGAAATTTTCCTTTGTATCTCTAATTTTCTTGAAGAGATCTCTAGTCTTTCCCATTCTATTGTTTTCCTCTATTTCTTTGCATTGATCATTGAGGAAGGCTTTCTTATCTCTCTTTGCTATTCTTTGGAACTCTGCATTCAAATGGGTATATCTTTCCTTTTCTCCTTTGCCTTTAACTTCTCTTCTTTTCTCAGATATTTGTAAGTCCTCCTCAGAAAACCATTTTGCCTTTTTACATTTATTTTTCTTGGGGATAAAGCTGGAGAGATAGGAAATCAAATGGAAATCAAAATCTTTGTAGGCCAAAAGTAGAGAGATTTCTTAAGACTAATTAGAAGTCATTGAAATATTAGAGCAGGAGAGTGTCATTCAATATATAAATATTTTTGGCACACTGTGTGGCTTGTGAGATCTTAGTTCCCCAAGCAAGGGGCAAACCTGGGCTGCTGGCAGTAGGAGCCCAGAGTCCTGTCAGGCTAGTGTATGCTTCTCAGTTCTGTCTCATCACAACAAAGATTTGAAGTGAAGGACACTAAAGCCCTAGGCACGTCACAGCTCTCGGGTCTTGAACATACCGTGTTATAGCTCTCAGGTCTCTAACAGACCGTGTTACAGCTCTTAGACAAATCAGTGTTACACCTCTATTTTATTTAGAAAATAGCAGGAGAATCCACCCTCCAGGTGTGAGGGAATAGGGTGGGGGGGACGGCAGGGGAAGAGAGCGCGAGCCCTTTGGCTCCTCTTTTTATATGTTTTTTCCTCCCCCCGGGCCTGCCCTGTGTAAATTGGGCTGGCCAGGAGTGCTGTTTGTTCTACCTGAGGTTCTCACTCAGGTCCTCGGACCTTCCTTTGACCTTCCTTTGTTCTATTTTCACGGGCTTTTCCCTTCCTTGTCTTTTAGCCACCGCCATATTTACATTTATATTTTTAAATGTTTCCTTTGGTTACTCCATGGACAATGGGTTGAAGGGGAGAAAGAGAGGAATTGGAGAGACAGTTGGGAGGCTACTCTAATCATTCAAGTGAGAGATTATGGTGGCTTGGATGGAGAGAGGCAGACATATTTAAGACCATTTTTGGAGGCAGAATCTCAGGACTCAGTGCTAGATTGCATGTGGGAG